GTACAATTCATATCATGGTAGGTTAAACGTAAGTAAATATTTGTGCGAATATGTTGACGTATAAATGGTAGAGAGAGTACCATCGGAGGACCTTCGTACAAATTGTGATCCTAAATTGCGTCCGTGTCGCACAGGTAATCACATGACGCACGCAACGCCGCCCCCAATCTAGATCGATGTAAACGATAGGATGCTTACGCCTCCAGCAGCGCCACGACGCCGCTCTATTTAATATCGTACTGATCGTGAGCTGCATAATACCGGAACCGAAACCGGCAATTTAGGCCGAAATGACAAGGTGCAGGGCGGAATGCATTCGTGGCAATATCAAATTCCATAAGGCGAGGCTTTTCAATATCAAAAAAATTTTCCATTCTCCATTTTAATTTAAGTTTTTAACAATAGAAAACACGTCAAAGTGAATTAGTATTTTTTTAAGATAACTTTAAAAAATAATTTCTAATAAACTAATAGAGATATCGAAAAACCCATAAAGCAACTCCAATTTGGTAATTTTTTAGGGTAACTTTAAGTTTTATTTCTCAAAATTGAATCGAGATATTAAAAAACGATTTGCACCATTAAAATAGTTGAGAAATTATAAATAAATACACCAAATTTGGTTTTTTCGATTTAATTCATAACCTAGAAATGAGAATTTAATGTTAACCCTTAAATCAATGTCAGAATTAGTAATCTTTTGAGGTTAACTTTGAAAAGTGATTTCTCAAAAACTAATTGAAATATCGAATAGCGGTTTTCACCGTCAAAATTATGAAGGAATTTTGTATCAACACACCAAATTTCGTTTTTCCAACGTTATCCATAACCTATAAAAGAAATTTTGAAATTAAGTCCTAACAATGCCAATTTGGTAATTTTTGAGGTTAACTATAAAAAGTGATTTCTCAAAAATGCATCGAGATATTAAAAAACGGTTTTTATCATTCAAATTGTTGACAAATTATAAATAAATACACCAAATTTTGTTTTTTCAATTTAATACATAACCTAGAAATGAGAAATTAAAGTTAACCATTAAAGCAATGTCAGAATAAGTAATCTTATGAGGTTAACTTTGAAGAGTGATTTCTCAAAAACTAATTGAAATATCGAATAGCGGTTTTCACCGTCAAAATTATGGAGGAATTTTGTATGAACACACCAAATTTCGTTTTTCCAACGTTATACATAACCTATAAAAGAAATTTTGAAATTAAATCCTAATAAAGCCAATTTGGTAATTTTTGAGGTTAACTATAAAAAGTGGTTTCTCAAAAATGAATCGAAATATTGAAAAACGGTTTTTATCATTAAAATAGTTGAGAAATTATAAATATATATACCAAATTTCGTTTTTCCAATTTTATACATAACCTAGAAATGAGAATTTAAAGTTAACCATTAAAGCAATGTCAGAATTAGTAATCTTATGAGGTTAACTTTGAAGAGTGATTTCTCAAAAACTAATTGAAATATCGAAAAGCGGTTTTCACCATCAAAATTGTTGAGGAATTTTGTATAAAAACCCCAAATTTCGTTTTTCCAATGTTATACATAACCTATAAAAGAAATTTTGAAATTACGTGCTAACAATGCCAATTTGGTAATTTTTGAGGTTAACTATAAATAGTAATTTCTGAAAAATGAATCGAGATATTAAAAAACGGTTTTTATCATTAAAATTGTTGACAAATTATATATAAATACACCAAATTTTGTTTTTTCAATTTAATACATAACCTAGAAATGAGAATTTAAAGTTAACCCTTGAAACAATGTTAAAATTAGTAATCTTTTGAAGTTAACTTTGAAGACTGATTTCTCAAAAACTAATCGAAATATCGAAAAGCGGTTTTCACCATCAAAATTGTTGAGGAATTTTGTATAAAAACCCCAAATTTCGTTTTTCCAATGTTATACATAACCTATAAAAGAAATTTTGAAATTACGTGCTAACAATGCCAATTTGGTAATTTTTGAGGTTAACTATAAATAGTAATTTCTCAAAAATGAATCGAGATATTAAAAAACGGTTTTTACCATTAAAATTGTTGAGAAATTATAAATAAATACATCAAACTTCGTTTTTCCAATTTTATACATAACCTAGAAATGAAAATCTAAAGTTAACCATTAAAGCAATGTCAGAATTAGTAATCTTTTGAGGTTAAGTTTGAAGAGTGATTTCTCAAAAACTAAGCGAAATATCGAAAAGCGGTTTTCACCATCAAACTTGTTGAGGAATTTTATATAAACACACCAAATTTCGTTTTTCCAACGTTATACATAACCTATAAAAGAAATTTTGAAATTAAGTCCTAACAATGCTAATTTGGTAATTTTCTTAGGTTACCTTTAAAATTTGATTTCTCAAAAATGAATCGAGATATTAAAAAACGGTTTTTACCATTAAAATTGTTGAGAAATTATAAATAAATACATCAAACTTCGTTTTTCCAATTTTATACATAACCTAGAAATGAAAATCTAAAGTTAACCATTAAAGCAATGTCAGAATTAGTAATCTTTTGAGGTTAAGTTTGAAGAGTGATTTCTCAAAAACTAATCGAAATATCGAAAAGCGGTTTTCACCATCAAACTTGTTGAGGAATTTTATATAAACACACCAAATTTCGTTTTTCCAACGTTATACATAACCTATAAAAGAAATTTTGAAATTAAGTCCTAACAATGCTAATTTGGTAATTTTCTTAGGTTACCTTTAAAATTTGATTTCTCAAAAATGAATCGAGATATTAAAGAACGGTTTTTACCATTAAAATTGTTGAGAAATTATAAGTAAATACACCAAATTTCGTTTTTTCAATGTAATACATAACCTAGAAATGAGAATTTAAAGTTAACCCTTAAAGCAATGTCAGAATTAGTAATCTTTTGAGGTTAACTTTGAAGATTGATTTCTCAAAAACTAATTGAAATATCCAATAGCGGTTTTCACCGTCAAAATTATAGAGGAATTTTGTCTGAACACACCAAATTTCGTTTTTCCAACGTTATACATAACCTATAAAAGAAATTTTGAAATTAAGTTCTAAGCAATTCCAATTTGGTAATTTTTTAGGTTAACTTTAAAATTGATTTCTCAAAAATGGATCGAGATATTAAAAGGCGGGTTTCACCGTTAAAATTGTTGAAAAATTATAAATAAACACACCAAATTTCGTTTATTCAATTTAATACATAACCTAGAATTGAAAATTTAAAGTTAACCCTTAAATCAATGTCAGAATTAGTAATCTTATGAGGTTAACTTTGAAGAGTGATTTCTCAAAAACTAATCGAAATATCGAAAAGCGGTTTTCACCATCACAATTGTTGAGGAATTTTGTATAAAAACCTCAAATTTCGTTTTTCCAACGTTATACATAACCTATAAAAGAAATTAAGTTCTAAGCAACTCCAATTTGGTAATTTTTTAGGTTAACTTTAAAATTGATTTCTCAAAAATGGATCGAGATATTAAAAGGCGGTTTTCACCATTAAAATTGTTGGAAAATTATAAATAAACACACCAAATTTCGTTTTTTCAATTTAATACATAACCTAGAAATGAGAATTTAAAGTTAACCATTAAAGCAATGTCAGAATTAGTAATCTTTTGAGGTTAATTTTGAAGAATGATTTCTCAAAAACTAATCGAAATATCGAAAAGCGGTTTTCACCATCAAAATTGTTGAGGAATTTTGTATGAACACACCAAATTTCGTTTTTCCAACGTTATACATAACCTATAAAAGAAATTTTGAAATTAAGTCGTAACAATGCCAATTTGGTAATTTTTGAGGTTAACTATAAATAATGATTTCTCAAAAATGAATCGAGATATTAAAAAACGGTTTTTATCATTAAAATAATTGAGAAATTATAAATAAATATACCAAATTTCGTTTTTCCAATTTTATACATAACCTAGAAATAAGAATTTAAAGTTAACCCTTAAAGCAATGTCAGAATTAGTAATCTTTTGAGGTTAATTTTGAAGAATGATTTCTCAAAAACTAATCGAAATATCGAAAAGCGGTTTTCACCATCAAAATTGTTGAGGAATTTTGTATGAACACACCAAATTTTGTTTTTCCAATTTTATACATAACCTAGAAATGAGAATTTAAAGTTAACCTTTCAAACAATTCGTTCCAGAATCTTACTCGTAATGCGAAATACTCGTTAAGCGAAACAACACTCAACCGAGTAACGAAAATAAGGGACTTCCCCTATGCGTGTCACTAGTTATGCGAAATATCGATCGTTAAGCGAGACAATTTATTTTACTCGTTATGCGAAATACTGTATCAGTATACTTCCACTGTATCAGTAACTTTTTGAGATTAACTTAAAACCTTTTTAAATACAACTCGTTAAATAAAGAGTAATCGAGCATTGTGGATACTGCAGAGATGGATTTTGGGTGCCGCATAGTATTTATCACCGGTTTGGTGAATTACGATCCGTGCTGTAGAGTCAGTAGAGGCGTCGTGGCGGCGACGCCTATAGTTGACGCTAAACTAATTCCTCCAATGTTACGACCACCGATGATCGTTTATCACGAAAAGACAAGAATCCCCTAGGCGTGAAACTAACGTAGTACCACTGTAAAGTATACAACTATGTTGGGTGGCTATATAACATTTTATATAGTTTCTTTCGTTAAAGATTTTTAGAAAGTTTGTTTTTGACTTTCGAATATTTTATGGTATTGGGAGTTCAAATCGAAACCGTACGGTTAAATTGGTAAACGGGTAATGTTTGGACAACGTCGACGGTGCGCGGTCAACTTCGACACCACCCCTCTTGGGAAATCTGGGGATCACAAAAGGGCCCGCGGCAGCACACCAAATTACCAACCTAATACTTTCCTCTTAGCGCCTTTTACAGCTACAAATTGCCAACCGAACCGTCGACGACGTTTACTCGATAAAAACCTCTTTGAGTGAGTCAAAAGAGTTTTATTTCCACGTACTTGTCTTTTGTTACAGGCTGAAAAAGAACGAAAAGATGTCTTCAGAACCTCCTGATGCTGAGGGATCCAGGACGACGCCGAGCGCCGCACCTGGGACTTTTGAAATCGGTAGCAATTTTAAAGTGGGAATCTACGGCTGGCGAAAGAGGTGCCTCTACATACTCGTACTAGGATTACTAATAATGGTTATTATAAATTTGGCCCTTACGCTTTGGGTACTGAAAGTTATGGAGTTTTCCTCGGTAAGTGCAAATGTTTACCTCGGAACACCGAATTTCAAACATCCCTTGGTGGGTTTACACACTCACATAGAGTGGTTCTGCAACAAAATCTTTTGTGTATATAAATTGTAATTATTCACTAAAATAATCCTCTCGAAATTTTTTTTTTAATCAAATTCATTAAAATAGAAGTTGATTTTTTTAAAGAAAAGGATTAAGCCTTTCGAAACGAGGAGAAAATCACCTGTTGTCGTTTGAAAAACGAAAAAAACTAAAAAATTTCCAATTACCATCAAAAGAGGGACTCTAATAACCGCTTCAGTTCTTTTCCTAATCGAGTCAACCGGGAAGCGGAAGTAAGGTCTGGAAACAATTTTCCAGCGTAATTATCCCGGTGTAGGATAGCGGTCTAATCAGTCTTTCCTGAATTATCTAATTGTGTCCGTCTGTAGAAAGCGGAATGGCTTTGCTCCTGCGGGAGAACATCTCGACTTTTATTTTTTTCGATTATTTTTTTTTTCTTAATTTAAACCCATTTCGTGACACTCGTTAATGAACTCACTGAATCTTCCCTTTCGGCAAAACGAAATGTTTCAAAATTTGTATTCAAAACGTTTCTACTTCTATGTCTAATATTAGTTCTAGTGACAGTGGAAGATAGCGCTAGTTAGCATAAAATATCACTATTTTACATATTTTTATTGTACTAAAACTAGAACTAACACTAGACCTAGAACTAGAAAGTATCGGGTTTAGCCACCTTGAGAGATGTGATTTGAAAATGATCAAAAACACACAAATTTCGTTTTATTATTGGGCTGGGTTGGTACTATTGATCGATGGATTAAAATAACTCATTGGATAAGTTTTATGGGTTAATTATAAATCTTTTTTGTATGAAAACTTTTTTTCCATCAGATATAATTAATGAGATATAAAAGAAAATTCATGAAAATGTCAAAATTTCAATTTTTTTAAGTTGGGTTGGTAATGCTGATTTATGGAGTAAATATCTTTATTTAATACTTCTTATGAGTTAATTCTAAACATTTTTTGTTAAAAAAATAATTTTCCATCATGCACAATTAATGAGTATAACCGAAAATGATCAAAACCATCAAAATTTGGTTTTATTGTTGGATTGGGTTGGTACTACTGTTCGATGGGTTAAAATAATTTATTGGATATGTTTAAAGGGTTAATTCTAAAACTTTTTTGTATAAAAAGTTGTTTTCCATCAGATATAATTAACGAGTTATAAAAAAAATTGATGAATACGTCAAAATTTCTATTTTTTTTAAGTTGGGTTGGTAATGCTGATTGATGGAGTAAATATCTTTATTTAATACTTCTTATGAGTTAATTCTAAACATTTTTTGTTAAAAAAATAATTCTCCATCATGCACAATTAATGAGTTATAAGTTGTTATAACCGAAAATGATCAAAACCATCAAAATTTGGTTTTATTGCTGGGTTGGGTTGGTACTACTGTTGGATGGATTAAAATAATTTATTGGATATGTTTTAATGGTTAATTCTAAAACTTTTTTGTATAAAAAGTTGTTTTCCATCAGATATAATTAATGAGTTATAAAAGAAAATTGATGAAAACATCAAAATTTCAATTTTTCTTAAGTTGGGTTGGTAATGCTGATTGATGGAGTAAATATCTTTATTTAATACTTCTTATGAATTAATTATAAACATTTTTATTTAAAAAAATAATTCTCCATCATGCACAATGAATGAGTTATAACCGAAAATGATCAAAAACATCAAAATTTGATTTTATTGTTGGGTTGGGTTGGTACTATTGTTCGATAGGTTAAAATAATTTATTGGATATGTTTAAAGGGTCAATTCTAAAACTTTTTAGTTTAAAATGTTGTTTTCCATCAGATATAATTAATGAATTATAAAAGAAAATTGATGTAAACGTCAAAATTTCAATTTTTCTTAGGTTGGGTTGGTAATGCTGATTGATGAAGTAAATATCTTTATTCAATACATCTTATGAGTTAATTCTAAACATTTTTTGTTAAAAAATAATTCTCCATCATGCAGAATGAAAGAGTTATAACCGAAAATGATCAAAAACATCAAAATTTGGTTTTATTTTTGAGATGGGTTGGTACTATTGATCGATGGATTAAAATAACTTATTGGATAAGTTTTATGGGTTAATTATAAATCTTTTTTGTATGAAAACTTTTTTTTCATCAGATATAATTAATGAGATATAAAAGAAAATTGATGAAAACGTTAAAATAAACACCTTTATATATATATACAGGGTGAGTCAATAGTGCGGGGACGGAAGATAGTGGCTTTACTGTTAAGAATAAAATGTCATCATATATTACCATCAAAGCTGCATCGATTAAAATTAATTTCAGCTATACAGGTGTTTCACTATTCCAGGACCGCACTCAACATAATTTTTTTAAATGGAACCACTTAAATGGAATATACATATAATATATATATAATTACACGGTTAGAGACACAGAATCCCGGAGGAAGCAGAGAAGAATTCTGGGAAACTGGTCCATAGGAAGAAGACGTAACCTCAGCTGCAGAACCTTCCGGAGTGGTTTGACTGCACCAGCAACGAACAATTCAGATCCGTAGTTTCAAAAGTTAGAATCGAGGTTGGCAAGAAATAAGGAAAAAACTCAACATAATAGGATATTCTATAAAAATAAATACTACCTACATATATGATAAATTTTTCATCGAACATAATTTTCTGACTATTTGGAAAATACAGCAAATTATGGATTCCATTTTCTGATAACTTGGATGTAGTTGGGTTTAGTAAGGCTGGGTTGTGTTGAGTTAGGTTGGGTTGAGATGGAATAGGTTGGGTTGGGTTGGGTTGAGTTGTATTCGTGTACATTTTCTTCCGATACACTACATCATTAAATTATTGTATTATTACTCTGCCGACTCTTTGCTCAACTTTTTTTTACTAGTTCTAGTGTCTTCTCAGTCTCTTTTTCTATTACTAGTTTTTGCTGAATCCTTCTCCTTTCTGCCAAGTCACTTTTTTCCATTTTCATTCTCTTTATTCTACAACCAGTCCTTTTCTTGCCTGAACAGTTCCTTTCCAGTCTTCTTTTGTTTTTGCCCAGTCTATCTTTTATATTATCAACCTCAGTGAGACTCCCTACTCTCTACTCGATATATTTTTTGTCTTTTCGGTGTCCACTCATTTCTTCTCTTCTATTTACAATTTTTCCTAGTCTTTCCCAATTCTCCCCAGTCTCTTTCTTCCATTTTCATCCTCTTTATTCTATAAACAGTTTTGAATCTGTTTTTTCTCTTACCAGTCTGTTTCCAGTCCTCCTCCTTTCTGCCAAGTCTCTTTCTTGTGTTATCAACCTCAGAGGGCCTCCTTACACTGCCTTCTTATAATTTCAATTTCCAGTATATTTCAGGACCTTTTCTTAATTTAAGCTGTTTGATGCTCTGCTCTAATTCCTCGATGGTGAACAAGCTGGTAAGATATGCCTTCTCCTGTTCTTCTGGTTCTTGCTCTCTCCCCTGATCTTCATCGACTTATGGAAATAGTTTCTTGATTTGTTCTTGTGCCGTCTTGTAATCTATTAGTAACTTAGTCTTGTAATAAAATTTGTGCCCACAAACTACAGAAAATAATTAATAGTATTTTGAAAAGATTGACAACCAAATATACTTGGCTACACATTTCTAGTTCTCGGTCTAGTGTTAGTTCTACTTTTGCACTAGCAATATCACTAGAATTAACAGAAGACCTAGAACTAGAATCATTCGGGTTTAGCCGTCTTGAGAGACGTGCGGCTAAACCCGAATGTTTCTAGTTCTCGGTCTAGTGCTAGTTTTAGTTTTGCACTAGCACTATCACTAGAACTAATAGAAGACCACGAAGATCTGCAACAGAATAGTTACTGTAGGCTAAGAATATAGATTGGCTCTGAATATAAGCAAAACAAAGTACATGGTTATTACAAAAACCTAGGCACAACAATTAATTATAACAACGACAGCTCCCAAGAGGTGCGCATTAAAATTGAAGAGGAATGGAATGAAGAATTTTTGTTGTTGTCGGGATCTGAGTCTGGAGTTGAAAATGATGAGGTGCAATGTGCTATCGGTATTGTTCTACGGGGTGGAAGCCTGGAGACTTAAGGCGATTGATGTGAGAAGACTTAATTTGAGATATGGATATACCGACGAATGTTAAAAATTTCATGGGTAGAGAAGGTGACCAACGTGGAGGTGATGAGACGCATGCAGAAGGATAGAGAGATAGTACGACGCAAATTTGCAAATCATGCAGAGAACAATTCTGGGTAATAGATCCATGGTCTGGAAAGTTAGAATTGTTATGATTGCCAACCTCAGAATCGAGGTTGACAAGAAAGAAGGAAGAAACTCAACATAACAGGATATTCTCTGAATACCATGCGAGTATACAAAATCAAAACTGATTTTATTTTTATTCAATTAACCATCTTAGCCATCTTATAGAGTGATATGATTTAGTACCAAAACTTTTTTTTTTCGATTATTTTTTTTCTTTTCTTAATTTAAACCCATTTCGTGACACTCGTTAATGAACTCACTGAATCTTCCCTTTCGGCAAAACCACCCCTTCATCATTTCCTTATCTTAAACACGTGCAGTGCAACGGGAAATAGAAATACCAGGACCACATCATCTCGTCATTTTCGCAAATTACGTTTCATTCTAAAACGAGAATTATAATAAATTTTCAAGTAATTATTCCGATAATGAGTCGTGGTCTTGTCCCCGCACGAAAAAGAATCTTGCGAAGAAGAGACTGTAACGGCTCCGTAATTATAGTTCAGAGCCCAGACAAAGGATACGCCTAAAAGGCCTCCCGTAGCCGAAGGCTCTCTTTTTTTGTCTAAAAAATTTCGTAATTAAAACTTCTTTAATTGGGGGATGCAACAGTTGTCTTCAAGGAATGTTCTTAAATGACCGACCAGTACTTGTTTCAGCATCATTACTTGATTAGAGTTTCTTTTCAACTAAATTGTTATTAAAGAAGAGTAATTTAGTATATAGTTTTAAAAATGAGTTATTATTTAAAGTTTTCTTAATACAACTTCGTTCGTATTAAAATTTATTTGTCGTTTATCTCGAGTCATAAATGTAATTTATACGCAAGGATTTAGGTGATTTATTATAGCAACTAACTCAACCCAAGCTAACGTCCTTGAAGTTATTTTAGAAACACAAGAACTTGTAACATAATTACTCAAAGAATAATAATTCTTTTAATGACTTCTTTTAATTATTTTTGTAATTATTATTTTAATTGTTGTTATAATTTCAGGAAGGAATGGGTCAACTAAAAATAATAACCGGAGGTTTAAAGTTGGAAGGGAAGGCCTACATTTTAGATTCGTTAATCGCTAGCAATATCAGATCCAGAGCGGGTCAACCGATAATTATCGAGTCCAGTAGGAACCTAACACTAACCACGAGGGGAGAGAATGGTTTCCTGGAAAACTTGATATATTTAGGTAAGGCACGAAGCTCCACCTCGAAAACTAAACCAATTTTCTTAAAAAAAAATCTTTCCTGTTGCACCTTTTCGTTTCGGTTGCAGGAAACGATAAGTTCGAGTGCCTGGCGAACAACTTCAGGATAATGGACGATCAAGGGGCAGTCTTGTTTTCGGCCAACGCGGAAGAGGTCGTAGTTGGGGCAAGAGTCCTTCGGGTTTTGGGTAAAGGGGGAACCACCTTCACGGGATCCGTTCAAACCCCCATCCTTCGAGCTGCTTCAGGCCACAATCTCCGGTTTGTCGAAGTTTTATACTCGTATTTTACACTTTGGATATAAAGCGCGGTTGACTTCCCCTTCGTTTAGATATTTCTTACTTAGTTTTATTCCGTGTTCTTCTGTTACTGAAGTTTTTCAAATTTTATTCTCTTGTTTAGAGTTTTATAGAGAGAAATTGAAAATATAATTGTTTCTTCTTTAAAAAAAAGTTAAATTAAAATATAAATAAAATTGAAATAATAAGCTGATTATCACATTACAATACTTCAATGAAGAAGTATAAAAGTATAATAAAGCCAAATATACAGGGTGATTCAAAAAACCGCTGACAGACTTCTAGAGTAGATAATACATGAAAAATTAAGATGAATAGTCTTAATATACATGAAAATGTGATGTGGTCCCACGTTGGTCCATTACAACTCTAATTTGCCATTATATTTAAGCTGTAGGCTTAAGGCCGAGCGTTCAGTAATCAGTCAAACACAACTTTATTCAGTCATCGGGCTCCAGGAAACTAACAGCTCAGCCTCTGCTGATCCTGTGACGTCCTCGTCCACATCTTTTTCTCCGTCTTCAACATTTTTTTCCTCTTCGTCTTCAACCTCTTGATCCTCGTCTTCCTCTTCATCTTCACTTTCGCTATCCTCATGTCTAATCCACAGTTTTAGTCGTTCCGGCGGAATAACGCCTTCATAAGCTTTTTGAGTTACTTCACACCCAGGAATACTTTTCACAACGTATCGGTCTTTGTCCAATACTTTATTAATACGATATGGCCCAATAAATTTACTTCCCATCTTAGCCACTCGGTCAGTAGGTGCTGCCAACCTTTCGACCATAACCAAATCTCCTTCTTTATATCTCATATGTGGTTTTCTTCGCGTACCTTTTCTCTAACCTGGATATAATCTTTTATGACATTTTCTTCTTTTATTTGTTCTGGTATAGTATCATGATGTCCGATGGTATCTTACCGGTACTTTTCTGCCAAGTCGAGTTAATAGCTATTTATACATCTGTCAATGCTTGCTTGTGCCATGTTTCAGGTTTATCTTCTACTAATTTTAATGATGGTAAAAATGTTCTGTTATATCTCTCAATCTGCCCATTTCCTCTCGGTGCTTTTACTGCCACTTGTACTAATTTAATATCATTTTTGTCACAAAATTGTCTTAACTTCTCGCTCGTAAAACATGTTCCTCTATCTGTAATTATTCGCTTAGAATATCCAAAAATTTTGAATAATCTTTGTAATATTTTTAATGCTTCTTCTGTTTTTGTTGTTTTCACTGCTTCCAAAAATATAAACTTTGTGAATGAATCAATCATTGCCAAAATATGTTGCTGTTGTTTTTTCCAGAGGTCTCAGATGGTCTAAGTGTAAAGTCTGCCAAGGAATTTCTCCTTTATCAATATTGTATTAATAACCCTCCTCCATATTTTGCTTTCGAACTAATACAATTTGCAAAGCTTTCTTAATGTATTTCTTCATATTTTTAAAATAGTAATTTTGTCTTAATTCTTGTCCTGTTCTTACTTGGTAGCCTAAAAAATTAATCTCTTTCATGCCAAAATAACATTTATCTAAAAGAAGTCGCAATTTAGTCTTTCTCACTCTCTTTCTCAATCACTCTTTTAAACAACAAAACATGATCCTCTAATGTCGATGTAAGAACCAGTATATCATCCATGTATATTACAAGACCTCCATCCTTTACGATGTCATTAAAGATTTCTGCCACAAACTTCGAAAACACTGCTGGTGCCCCTGACAACCTAAACGGCATCTTCAAAAATTCGTACTGCCCCATAAATGTAACAAACTATGTATACTTAACAGATTCGCCGTCCATCTCTACATGGTGATAACCATTTTTCAGATCTAATAATGAAAAATACTTGGATCCACTTAAATAGTCAATTAAAGTTTCAATCACAGGCATTGGAAGTTGACTTTTCATAGTATACTTGTTGATATTTCTAAAATCGACGCATAGCCGGTTTTCTCCATTCATCTTTTTAACCAACACAACTTTTAAGTCCTAACAATGCCAATTTGGTAATTTTCTTAGGTTACCTTTAAAATTTGATTTCTCAAAAATGAATCGAGATATTAACAAACGGTTTTTATCATTAAAATTGTTGAGAAATTATAAATAAATACACCAAATTACGTTTTTTCAATTTAATACATAACCTAGAAATGAGAATTTAAAGTTAACCATTAAAACAATGTCAGAATTAGTAATCTTATGAGGTTAACTTTGAAGAGTGATTTCTCAAAAACTAATTGAAATACCGAAAAGCGGTTTTCACCGTCAAAATTATGTAGGAATTTTGTATCAACACACCAAATTTCGTTTTTTCCAACGTTATACATAACCTATAAAAGCAATTTTGAAATTAACTCCTAACAATGCCAATTTGGTAATTTTTGAGGTCAACTATAAAAAGTGATTTCTCAAAAATGAATCGAGATATTAAAAAACGGTTTTTATCATTAAATTTGTTGAGAAATTATAAATTAATACACCAAATTTCGTTTTTTCTATTTAATACATAACCTAGAAATGAGAATTTAAAGTTAACCATTAAAGCAATATCAGAATTAGTAATCTTATGAGGTTAACTTTGAAGAGTGATTTCTCAAAAACTAATTGAAATACCGAAAAGCGGTTTTCACCGCCAAAATTATGTAGGAATTTTGTATCAACACACCAAATTTTGTTTTTTCCAACGTTTTACATAACCTATAAAGAAATTTTGAAACTTAGTCCTAACAATGCCAATTTGATAATTTTTTGAGGTTAACTATAAAAAGTGATTTCTTAAAAATGAATCGAGATATCAAAAAACGGTTTTTATCATTAAAATTGTTGAGAAATTATAAATAAATACACCAAATTTCGTTTTTTCAATTTAATACATAACCTAGAAATGAGAATTTGAAATTAAGCATAATGTCAGAATTAGTAATCTTATGAGGTTAACTTTGAAGAGTGATTTCTCAAAAACTAATTGAAATACCGAAAAGCGGTTTTCACCGTCAAAATTATGTAGGAATTTTGTATCAACACACCAAATTTTGTTTTTTCCAACGTTATACATAACCTATAAATGAAATTTTGAAATTAAGTCCTAACAGTGCCAATTTGGTAATTTTTTTAGGTTACCTTTAAAATTTGATTTCTCAAAAATGAATCGAGATATCAAAAAACGGTTTTTATCATTAAAATTGTTGAGAAATTATAAATCAATACACCAAATTTGGTTTTTTCAATTTAATACATAACCTAGAAATGAGAATTTAAAGTTAACCAACAAAATAAATTTTGAAATTAAGTAAGCAATGCCAATTTGGTAATTTTTTCAGATTAGCTTTAAAAATTGATTTCTCAAAAATGAAATTTGTCTGTTTATTCTACAACCAGTCCTTTTCTTGCCTATGCAGTTCATTTTGAATCAGTTATTTCCTTTACCAGTGTTTTTCCAGTCTTTCTTCGTTTCTGCCCAGTCTATCTCTTATCTGCTCGATATATTTTTTGTCTATCCAATGTCTATTCGGTGTCTTTCTTCTATTACCAGTTTTTGCCAAATGTTTCTCCTATCTGCCCAGTCTCTTTTTTCCATTTTCACCAGTCCTTTCCTTGCCTGTGCAATTCATTTTGAATCGGTTTTCTGCTTTACCAGTCTGTTTCCTGTCATCCTTTAAAATTAAAATCTATGGATGAGAATGATATTAGTCAAATTTTTGTACGATTACTTTCTTTTTATATACATAATATATTCAAGAAAGTAAAAATTGATATAAAATTCTGTTTTATTTATTTTTAATGGAAATATACTATGTAGTGTGGTAAAAGTATAGTACGTGGCTAATTTGACATTCAGACGATGTAGTATGAACGGCTGTATCCGGCGTAAATGTAAAATACAGGCAGAGGGAGGTTTAATAAAAGTGGGAGGGGTTTTCTTGAAACCGCCAGAATATTTTCTTACATAACATGCCGCGGCAGCTGGTGCGCAATTGAGTTTGGTCTAACCGTAAAAATACCACCACATCTTAAACAATTTAATGGTTCTTGCAGACCGTGCCGTTCGGGTACAATTGTACCTTCGCACAAATTACCAATTTGCGTTAAAAGAAAAGGGGAAAACGGGGCCTATTCTAAGAGGATTAAAGACCGGGCGGGGGGATCTCTTATTATTTCCAAGTTACCGGTTTCGGCGTCCGCCCAATTCGGAACTTTCGAACAGGTCGGGGTTCGGTAAAAATCAATAAACCCGCACAAAGTTATCGGCACGGTGAATTATTTAATACACTCAGGTTCCGATAAATCCCCGAGTTTATTGTTCTCGATAGTGACGTCCACTGCTCCGGACGGAAGAAGATGAAAAGCACGGCCGGTGCCGGTAGACAATCAATTTTCCAAGGGAAAAGGCCACGTACGAAGAAAAGGATAAATACCCTCATATTTTATTTACGTGGTCTTTGCGGTTTCTTATACCTTTCCACAATTACAACTACAATTTCTTTATAACTAATACGTTGTCATTTTTAAAAAGCAATTCTCTAGAAAAGTAAAGAAATAAAAAAAGAATTTTGGCGCTAGACCATGGTCATCACAGACAGTTATTTATTTAGAAAGAGCATACGAGTCCTTTGGGACAAGGTGGCTAACGCCAATTTTCGCCTGCCACTAATTACAAAATATTCTATTCATGCTAACGTGAATGTTTGATGTGCAATAGCAACATAGAAGCGCAAAAACGACATCAACAAGGCCTCCGAGTTGTCCCAAACTCTAAAATTATTAATACATATTGTATAATTCTCGAACTAAAATTATTAATCTTGTTAAGTTTGAAATGAACTGACACGGTCAAAAAACTTCCTACATAAACGATCGAAAAAAAAGTCTAATGACGTCGTTTCTAAAAGTTTTTCCCATTTTTTTTTTCATTCTTCTCGTCGTTTTCGTTTTTCCATTTTTTTGTTTTGCCGTTAGGGACG